GGCAGCTGTATAATATTTTTAACCAATTTATAAAGGAATTGCCAAAACCAAATTTAAGTAGAGTAGCGAATAAAAATTTCCAGTTTAGTTGCTTGCTTTTTCTGCAATAAAGACAATATGTAGGATTTAATATTTTTACTGTAGGCATAATCTATTGAGTTAAGTCTATTAAGACCAGAGACAAGGAGTAAAGCAAAACTAAACACTAAAAAGAAAATATAACAGAACCAAGACTGAGACATTAACTAAGAAAAACCCAAGGAACACAACAAAATATGAACTAAACCATAAAAAAAGCAAAGCAAAACTGAATATCAAAAGAAAAACATAACAGAAACAAAATTTGTTTTTGTTTTACACTTGTGTAAACAAAATGACAAATAAATCTAAGTCTAATATTTAGACATTACTCATTAAACAGAAATGTATGCAACAAATGACAAAAAAAGTACACGATTAATCAGAATAATGCTAAGAGACTTGTACCGAACTCATTTAAGTAACTGTTTTTATTATTAGTCGAATGCTTTCCTTAAAATGAAGGACACCATGAAAATGGTCAAAGAATCAAAACCTAGGACCCAATATTCAAGCAGATGGATCTGGATGATTTCAAACAATTGTTTATTAAAACAGTAAGCGTGCGTCTGCTCGCAGCTGGGGTGGATAAACCGGATCCTCTGTAGGAATAGAAACTGAGGTCAGTGACCTGGTTCAGAGTTCAATCCGATTCCAGAGGAAGGAGATGAATCCATGAGGGAGACGGTTCACAGCTTGTAGCAGGAGCCGCACACCGAGTGATGAGCAGAGCGTATGCCAGCCGAAGCCATGGAGCTACAGCATCCAGAAGGGAATATCCTGAGCCCAAGTCGAAGGAGAACCAGGTTTACAGACCGATGGTCAGAAGAACAGTCCAAGTTCGGTAAGCCGGTAGATTTCAGGAATCCATCCAGAACTGATCAGACCAACAGAGCAGACAGGGGCAAAGCAAACAAGTCACAATCAGAAAATCAAAACAATAATCAGAACTTTAGGGTTACTCTCACCGAACAGCTCAAATAATCTGCTACTGGTGGCAGGAAAGCAAACAGAATGAATAGCTAAGGGGACCAGGTGAACCAGATCGGCGGTAGTCAGTCAATAAGACAGGTGAGCAGGGGCAAATGGAAAAAGCCAACCATCAGCGCCAAAACCGTGACAGAAAACAACTTAGTCCTTACTCTTTAAGCAAACATTAAGCTTGCTCAAATACATAGGGCCCATTTCACAGATATTTATTTAAGACAATAAAAAAAAAACATATATTTTGATGTTAATTGTGGAAAAGAACTGCAATCTATATTGTGGCAAAGAGTAGGACAGTTATAATCTGACAGCCCTATTGTTACTGAGAATTGAACATTTATTTAACATAGACTTTAATCTCTTTTATGGGGGTGTGTGTGTGTGTTTGTGTGTGTGTGTGTTTGTACCTGTCTAGCACTCAGAGGGAGGACCATTTCTTCCAATTTCACCATCAGTTTGAGAACCAGTTGTTGCAAAGTGAGGACATTTTTCTAGTCCTGACATGCTATTTTGCTAATGGTTAGGTTTAGGGCTAAGGTATCGATTGGTCAGTGTGAGGTCTGCATGGTAATGGTTCGGTTTAGGGTTAGGGCATAGAAAGAGTTGAAAATGACTGAAAATCAATGGAAGTTAATGGGAGTCAACACATTGAGTCAACACATGGCAGAACGAGTATGTGTATGTGTGTGTTCATCACTGTATTTCAAAAAAATACCTTGATATAAGGGTCTTAAACATCTTATTCCGGTTATTCATTGTTTTGAGCAGGTTACTCTTTTGCTGAAGTAGACCTTAATTATTCTTTATTACAGTGAGTAAATAATATTTAATTAATAAGCTGATAGATAAATAACAATAACAAGATTCTTTAATTGTCCCCACTAACCTGAGAGAGATGGACAGGCATTCTTCAGCTGAAATTGAACATTTGTAGTTGGTGTCCTTGTAGGAGATGCGGGCACCAAAACAGGTCAGCAGGTCATCAAACTGGGCTCAGGTGAAACAATAGTAGCGCTGGAAGCTACCCTCATCGGCTTGGAGTTCCTGGATTAGATGGTAAAACTCCTCACAAACTGAATGCATCTGAATTATCTGGTGAATCCAGACATGGCGCTGAGGTGCCCGACGATGGCGTTCTCGTGTTTTATTCATTAAAATAAGTCAAGCCGCTCTTTCGATTTTATCTGCCATTGTGTAAAATACAGGCAAAAAGAAAAGGGTAGCTTCACCCAATTCAACTCAGACCAACGCACAGCTAGAGCAGCAAAGATGCTCTGTGCATCAGAACTACATTTAGACAAGCATCAAAACTGAAGCAGGTCCTTTTTTGCTGCTGAAATCGTGTTTGGTGTGAAGCTAACCTTAGGCTACTAGCTTTAGGGTTAGGCATGCGTTGGTAATGGTTAGGGTTAGAATAAGTGTCTGGGTTACGCCATATAAATGAGTGGGAAATTAATGGAAGTAAATGGGAAGTCCCCTCAATGATTGTGTGACAAAGTGTGTGTTCATTATTTTTAACCACTGATAGCGCCCGTGTGCAAATCGTCATGAAGATGCTTTAGGCCTGACAGATTGTCAAAGTGTTTGTCCTGGTGACCAGAGAATTCCACACAATTTCACTACAAATGTTGAGAGAGTCATTGGCAAGAGCCACTGAGGCTGAAAGGCAGAGAATATATAAATAACAAACACACGCACCTTAGCAAAATGGCTGAAAGTAATCTGTGTGTTTGAGCAATAGGCCTCTGTTCGAGGAGCATACATTTTAGATTTGATCCTGTGTCGAGGGGGATTGTGAAAGGGATGAAGGAGGAAGTGAAGATAGGAGTAGATCCAGATAGTAAAAAGGTATTGTTGGGAAGAAGAATATACTTGTAAAAAGAGTTGAGACAAACAAAGGTAAACGGAAAGCAGAGGAAAAACCTGATATGGACTAGTGAGAAGAAAGAAATAGCAAGGTGGAGGAAGTTGGAGAAGAAGAATAAAGTTTTTTTGAAAACCCTAAAAAGCCCGAAAAGTTCTGCTTTTACTCCGCATAAGGCAAGAGAGAATACTGGATGGCATAAAAATGTTGAACGAAAAAATAGAAAGCAGAAAAAAGACGATACAAAAGTAGACGTTTGATTACTCATTTCCTTTACCTGCTTATCTCCTATCTTCTCATTACTGTTCATCCGATCCATCTGCTTCAGCCTCTTTTTAACCAGCCTTCAATCAGCCATCAGTGCCAGATTATTCTAGCCTTTGATGAGAGTTCTCTAGCTTTCCTGTTTTTGACTACCTGACCATGATCCGTTCTGCCTGTAGACTTCTGAGTCTGCCTGTCCCTTTTCTGATCTGTTTGCCTGTCCTGTCTTTGGACTCTTCTGGATTTATGTCTCTGTACCAAATCTGGAGCTGTTTCCTGACACCATCCTGGATTTCCCTTCGGTGCCTCTTCGCACCTCTGATCTCCTGGCTCTGACTCCTGAGCATGTCTTCTACACTGGCTTTGGCTTTGGATTATCCTGCCTTCCTTTGGCTGCTTGGCTGTGAACTTCTGTCTGGTCTCCGACCCCCGGGACATTGTCATCCTCCACCGGATAGTACCTGGCCAGTTCCTGTTCTGCTGTGACACCATCCTGGAGAGAAATATCAGCTGTGCTGCTGCCATCAACACCTTTGTTTCTAGATGTTGGAGCTTGGCCTGTTTTCCAGTGTAGTCCTGTTTCTCTGACTGTGACTAACTGGATGTGCTCTCTTCATCCTCTGACATGGGAGCTGGCTCGGAGCTCGTCTGCCTGGCTGTGTGTTTCCTGGACGGGGCCGCCTGTGGAGCTGGTTGACAGTTGCCTTTTGTATCTATGCTTCTTTTTCTATGTCTGCTTCTGTCTCCTTGAATCCCAGTGGGCCTCAGCAGATGGCCGCTCACACTGAGCCTGGTTCTGCTGGAGGTTTCTTCCTGTTCAAATGGAGTTTTTTCTCTCCACTGTCGCTACAAGCATGCTTGGTGTGAGGGATTACCTTTGAGTCAATGTGTTGATGCAATCAACAGGTATTCCTTAGGTAAAAAACGTTAAATCAATTTGAATTTACGATCTGGTGAACTGTATACTGCCTTGAGATGACATGTGTTGTGAATTGCCGCTATATGAATAAACTGAATTGAATTGCAGAGGTTCCTGCCTTAGATGCTGACGCTGTTCTCTGCAGTTGCATCATGATTAAACATTTGGTAAATCTAACTGTCTTTCCACCTTAAATACTGGGTCCATTTGTTCTGAGCTTGACAAAATGAGGTATAGTCAAAAACAATACTACTTCACAAAAAAACAAAAAATCTTTCCAAATTGAATTTTGAAAACTTCTTTGGGTGATAAATAAAAAATATATATTTTTAAAAATCTGAAAATAATCACAAACCTTTTATCTTCCAAACTAAAGACCTTGGCAGAGGCAACTTATTTGCATGAATCTCTTTTCTTTTCTTTAGTCCTTTACACATACCCATAGATTCACACCCATACAGACACGTGTATGTATCAATTAATTATGAAATGAAAGAATTCCCATTTTGCAGTGCTGGATTTTAAAAAAGAGCTTCCAAATGCAAAAAGTTGTGCTTGGATGGGAGTGAGAAAAAAAAGTAGCCAACTTATTGCAACATGAAAGAGGTGGGGCTAGGGTTTGCAAAAACAACCAACTATCGTTTAGATTTCAAATTAAAATCTAAAAGACAAGTTAGTTAAAGATTGTGTTTGATTAAATTTTTACTAACATGACTCCACACATAAAGAAATTATATTTGCCAAAACAAAATAAAAAGATGATGTTTTTTATCTACAAACAACATTAGAAAGTAAAAGGCTTATCCAAGCAAACTGAAACAGTAATCAGCGTATGCAAAGGTTTTTAATTACAATAATGCAAACCAGTAACCTTTCTTTCTATGTTAGTTCACAGGATTTCGAGGCAGAGTATCAGGAACTCTGGGATTGGCTGATGGACATGGATGCTATGGTAACTGACAGCCACCAGTTGATGATGTCAGAAGAGCAGAGGCAATACCTCTTCAAAGTAAGATAAACTTCTTTGTGAAAATTTATCATTTTGCAGGGCAATCAGAGCCCTGTTATAAGCCCCGTTCTTAGCCTGTACAGCTTCTCTGCTTTACCTTGCTCCAGCACAGCTGATTTTATTTGAAAGCTGATTAACAGGCTTTTGGTCTACTGCAAACATTATAACCAGCTGTGCTGAAGCAGAGAAACCTCTAAAACCTGCAGGACAGGGGGCCTTGAGGACCGAGTTTGGGGATGCCTGATTTAGGGTATTTGTTGCTGGTCTCTAATAGGGTGTGTAACATTAGTTGGGCTGAAAATGGCATATTTCCTGTTCTATGAGCCCTAATGCAAGCCTGGTTAAAAGCCCCAGAATGAAATGACAGGTTTTCTTCCTTTTGTGCTCATGAATATTTAGATGAGCTGTGCTCTGATTGGTTGGTTTACAACAAACTTTGCTGAGCAAAGACGCATCATAGCAACAAGCACTTACTCACTGAAACATTAAATTGTTGATACGGTAGGGTGACCAGACTTCTTTTTCCCGGACATGTCCTACTTTTGTTACCTAAAATGATGTCCTGGGGGATTTTTGTCGAATTCAGTGCAGCAGAACCGAGCCGTCAGCTCCGGCGCTGCTCCAGGAACACTGGCGGATGGGAGCCAGCGGTAAGGCAGGCCGGGGAAACATACTGTCATGCCGTCGGGTTCGGTCGCTCCGTCCCCAGCTGCCGGACTACTGGACCAGCACCGAAGCGCATGGCTTGGTTCGAATGCCCGGTCCAGTCCAGTCAGCAGCCCCCCCCCCAAAAAAAACCTATCTTCAGTTAAATGTTTAAAGCAAATGAACAGCTAAGCATCGAAATTTGCAGGGATCTTCAGATACACAAAAATAATGCATACCTGTCAAGTTTTCAGATCCTTGGGAAGAGTGTGAAAATCTTCCCCTTTCTCTGTTCACCCTGGAACAATGCATTTACGATAGTGAACCAGTGCGCTGGTCTCTATGTCAATCTCGGGGTGTGACAAAAGTACAGGCCAGAACCAAATAAGGCAACATCCCTGAGTTAACGTCAACTCTTGGCTTTGTAGGGATTCGCCCGTTTTATAGTGGAAGAATAAAACTGTGAGATTTGCAGAGAAAGGAGGTGTTGATGGGGTTTGAACTTCTCTGTACGTCCATTTCACCCACTAAACTATCGTTATTCATCTCTGACAATGGAAACTCAGTTTTGTATTCTATGACCCCCTTTAATTTTGTATGTTTCAGTGTTTCAAATTATTTTTATTAATTCATTAATAAATTTACTCTTTTTTGTTTACTTTCCCTAAAATATTGTATATTTTTCCTGTTTATCAACAACACATGACAGCCATTAGGAACACATTGCTTGTGTTAGATTATTTTTGTATTTATTCTTTAAAAGTGCCCCCACCCTGGCCAAAGCAAGCCTCTCACATGTAACAGTAGACATCCCATGAACAGCAAGATTAGTTTTTGTTTATTTCATGTTTTTAAAGTTATGTTAAAAACAAAATAATGAACAATGCTGCTGTAATTTGATTATTTTAATAAATTATGTGACTGTCTATAACCCAAGGTTTATAACAGGTGTAATATTGATGTGGGGTTAGAGCTCGCACATCTGATGTTGAGAAACATCAGAATGAAAAACCTGTTCAAAGACTTATTATTTAGGTAGCACACACATAACATCCTTTTCTTATTTTATTATTAACTTTATCTTATTTAATTCTTATCCTTATCTTATTTTATTCTTACATCTTATTTGTACTTACAATCTAATTTTCTCTGTTCTGTAAACAGTTGCACTGCAAGAAATACGATTATTAAAGTAATTTTAATTCTGATTCATTCTGATTCTGATTCGAATCCATTTTGGCAAAATTGAAATGAGCCATTTTAATCTAATATAATTAAATATAACTAATTCAACGATTACTGTCAGATTATTCTAGTTTTATTGAGACTTTTACAGAAACAAGTAAAAAAAATGCATATAATTTTGCCATTATTTCCATTTATTACTCGATAACAATTGGTGGCATAAAAACATCGTTGGTTGCTTGCCATTCAGCTTAAAAAATACACATAGAACAACGGGGAGCAAAAGGGGAGAGAATGAGGCTGTTCAGTGTATTCTCATTATCAGTTCGTATGAAATCGTACGAAAAGTTATGCACAGTAATTTCGTACGTTTCTGACGTTTTTTTCGTCGCATTTCGTCGTATTTTTACGTCTTGCCTCAAGACAAGATATCCTTGCGCATGCGCATCTTACGCACGATTAAATAACATACAATTAACCCTATTCCTGCACCTAACCCTAACCCTAAGATACAAAACAGCAAGCAACCTAGTTAGAGACCTGAAGAAGTAATTATTGCACTGTTTTTCCCAGTTTTCCATCCGTCCGCGGATCTGCTTTTTTCGTCTGTCTGGCTGCGCATGCGCACTGATCTGTTTTCTCGAAGAAAAACGTCCAAAACGTACGAAATACTGTGCATAACTTTTCGTACGATTTCATACGAACTGATAATGAGAATATGTTGGGCTGTTGGGTGAAAATGCAGTTATTTTATGTGATACAACTATGTCAGTTTGAAATGATTTTCATGATTTGATTTTGCAATCTAGTGCAGGATTAGCAGCAGCTTTCCACATTGAAAGTGAAAAGGTTTCCTGTTTCTGTTGGAAGCACAGTCAGCCTTCTCTGCATGACGACAGCAGACAGTGAGAGAGGGAGGAAGGCAGGCTTAAGATTGTCTCACTCGGGAGGACAGAGTTTGGTGCTTTTAGGGGTCTGAAAAGGTGCAAAATTTTGCGACTAAAAGGCTAAGTTGGCAACACTGGCATAGGGTCCTCGATTATATCAAAATGATGTCAATGTAAATCCCTTAATTGTCCTTCAATGGGGAAATTCACTCTCTGCGTTTTGACCCATCGCCTTGGGGAGCAGTGGGCTGCCATTGTGTGATGCTTAGTGTGGGGTTAAGGGTATTGCTCAGGAAGCCAAAGTGGAGGCTGTGGGATTGAACTGAGTACTTGCAACTTTCTCAGAGCACAAGTGTACTGCTGTAACCACTAGGCCAATACTCCCCAACTCTGCCATCTGTCTCAGCAATACATTATATTTTCTTTTGGATAGGTCATATTCCAAATATATTCATAGCTCTGTCTGTGGTGTCTTACATACAAGCATGTCTTTAACATACCATGTCCACTCTCAGATAGTGGGGGACAGGCCAATAGTCGTCTGCTCATTCTCGTGGGCTGCGCTCGTATTTGAAAATATTCTTTAAAAACTGCTATTGGTTTCTGAATCAAAATGGATGCCAGTTAACTCTGACTATCTACAACATCGATATTGAATATGACGTTTCAAAGGACCAAATTTGGCCAAATGGTTGCATCCATCAGAGGAGCACAGTTATGGAACACACTGCCAGCTCATGTTAGGGGCTGTGGAACCTACAAACGTTTTATTCTCCTTGAAACATTGGTTGAAAACTAACCAGACATGTAGCCTGACGTAGTCCGACTCAATTCTAGTCAGAATGAGTCTGATGCTGCTCCATAGAGCTGTGATTATGGGGCGTGTTTTGAACGAACCAGGAAAAAAAATGCCTCTGCACTCAATTGGATAGACCTACAACCAATAAGAGCAACGGAGTGCGTGACGTATGTTAAGCGACGCATAGTTGTTGTCCACAAAAATCAAAGCGTGCAGTTTCACGCCTAGAATAAGAAGATGAGCCTTGATCGTGTTTCTCTTTTCCTCTTTTAAAATTAATTTGCTGTCGATATCTTCTAGAACAGACCTAATAGCAGAATCTACTCACCTCAACTCTCCAGCGGCAGCCATTGTTGTTGTCACCCAAGCGCGCTTTGGTCACGTGGTTGATTACGTTACTGTTGGTCATCTGTCAATCATCGTATAAAGCCCGCCCTGACAATTTGATTGGATCACCTGAGAGTGGGCGATCATACTCGCGCTACTATTGAGCAATGCCAGACCGAACTTCCCGACCTCAAACGTTGTGGGCGGGACTAAGTTCGGAATGGCACCCAGGCTACCAGACATGTGTTCACAGGTAAATTGATCTGTTTCTATGGGCCTGTTAACCTCATTTTTATTGTTAACCTAATTTTATTGTGATTTTATGTTATTGGCATCTTATCTGTTTGTGTCCACTCTGTTCTCTCCTGTAGCGTCTTGTTTTATGTTCACTGTTTTTACCTGCCTTAGGACAGCGGATGCAAATTAGCTTTTGTGCTAATTCTGGCATATTTACATTGATGCTTTATGCTGACATGTTGATGAATGTGCATTGTCCTAATAAAAAAAAAATAATAATTTGTTTGCTAGGTTGCTAAATTGGATGCATTTAACATGGATTGCACTTGATGTCACATCCACAGAAACATGTCTGTTTAAACATTCACACCTCAAATTGATGTAAACATGAGGGTTAAATTAAATGTAAAGGTGCTTTTTTCCCCATTTTTTTTCTCCAACATAGCTATAAAAACAAAACTTTTTTTGTTATTTTCTGTCTATCTCTATGGTGGGTGTGTTTTGGGCACCTGGCAGTTTGAACAAAGGCATGATTTATTTATTTGGATGATGAAAGTCACCTGCCCCACAAATTATTGATAAGTGTAAAGATGAACTTAATTTCTCCATAGGAGCCACAGTTAAATATTCATCTCTTAATGAATATTCATGAAAACGATGATGCATGCATGAATTTTAGATGACTCTAGAATCAGTGGGTATTGTCTTCTTCTTTTTCTCTTTCTCTCTCTCTCATTTTTTTTGATGTGTCAACTCTACTGCTGAATTATTGATGTTGATCTCAACAGCATTTCTTAGCCAAGTCCAAGGTCGCTTTGTTATAGTCTTTTTTTTTTGCCCTCTTCTCCACTGTGACTTGCAGAGAATGGTCTACAGACAGGTTTACACTGCGTGCTGCTCACGTATGGATTTTTTATGCC